TTTGAGAGTCCTCTGGTGGTAGCCTCTGTGGGGACCCTGTAGGGCTCGGTCCTGGTCCATTGTGTGCACGGCTGTACCACACAGCCTCAGCTGGCGCACACCTCCTCTGGCTCCACAGCTTGATGAATCACGTGGCCAGCCATGTGACAAGCTGCCGGCTCCATCAGACTGAGGCTCGCTTCACGCCAGCATGCACTGCCACATGAGAAACAGACTGCGCCCCTGCCCTGAAGCACAAGAGCAGGTGCTTGTGGACCAGGGAAACATGTAGTCAGAGAACCCATACCTAAGTGATTTAGAGTGACCGTCCAGGCAAGCTGAAGGACAAATAGGCGGGCTAGCCAAGAAGATGTTGACAGAGACCATTCCTGACTGTCCATCAGATACTAAGAACAGAAAGAGAGAAACCATGTACCAGGCATTGGAAGACATTATGAAGTTACAGTGCAGTTTTAAGAAATTGTTGGTGCTGGCTCAAACCAAAGCCAAGCCATTGCTGCCCAGGGGATTCTGGCTCGGCGACCTTAGGACGGGGTAGACAGCCCCAGGCTGTCATCAGCACAGAGCAGATCCACACATCTCAGATGGGCTGGTGTGCTTGAGCCCCTGGCCTTTTGGGTTAGCTTAACCATTTTGCCATCAGGACTCCTTGGTCCTGATTCAAAGCCAGACCAGTCAGCAGAAGGTTGGAGCCTGGAGTCTAGAGTAGACCTCCGCCAGAGATAGAGGTGGCATGTCCAAGCAACGGAGAAAGGGCAACTGGCTCAATATTCTGAGTGAGCCAACTGTGCCTCCACCTCCCCCCCACCCCCACACACCAACTGTTACCTGAGGACACACTCGTGGCACCTAAGACGTTCTTGAACTGGTCTCATTGCCAAGCAGTGAGAGAACTGTGAAGGTCATGGGAGCAGATGAGCTGCAGGGCAGACGGGCTGCTTGTGAAAGAGGTAGTGTGTATGAATGGGGCTTCCAAACGGGGAAAAAAATCCCATGGTCTTTCAGTTGCATTTTCCACAAATGTTTGCAGCCGCCATGTGTAACCAATTCATTTATGAAATGTCTTCAGGCTCCCCCGTGGTGACTCGATGCCCTTGGTACCCACAGTGGGCAGCAATGCCGTCATGCCCTGTGTGGGGACTGAGCATGCCACAGGCAGGCACAGTCACGTGGCACACCCCCAGAGAGCTGGATAGAGACCTTTGTGAGAAAAGTCAAATGTGCAGGACCTGGAAGTCCAGTCAGAGGTGATTAGTGGGTGACTCATGTTCCACGCACGCATGTTGGAATGCACACCAAATAAAGATGGAATACGCCTGTCGATGGAGGAAGATGTTTTCGCATCAGTGAGGAAGTAACACAGTTTGCTGTGGGTCAAGTGGTTGCACATCTGCCTATGCACACACTCGTGCAACGCTTCCTTGCCCGCAGAGGGACACGGAACTGGTGGAACACACTTACCAATATGGAGAGATGGGTGTACGAAAGCATCAAGCATGTTCATGACTGCTCCCTGGTCACAGCTGCACGACACACACTCGTGGGAAGGACGCACAGGTGACTCTAGGTGTGAGGGTTACAGTTCAGAAAAAGAATTTTTCGGGAGGGAGGGGAAAAAAAGAGGAGCTGATACCAAGGGCTCAAGCAGAAAGCAAATGTTTTGAGAATGATGAGGTCAACAAATTGTACAATGTGCTCGACACAGTGGATGGATAGATGGACTGTGATGAGTTGTACGAGCCCCCAGTAAAATGATTTAAAAGAAAAAGAATGTTCCTTTTACCTAACATGCTCATCTGATTTTTCTACACAAGCATGTTAACCGTCCCCTTTTTTTTTTCTTAATGGGAATTTCAAATTGTCCAGTTTTGTATTGCCGGTATCAGACTGAGCTTTGGTCTGACCTCTGGCTACACAAGGGAGGAAGAGAATCCAGTGCTGCCTCAGCCCAAGGCCAGCTACCACAAGGCAGAGGTCACACCATACTCACAATCGAGGGGTGTGTTAGGGGAGCTGACAGGTTCTAAAATGTGAGGAGGCAGTTCTTTTGTCTACAGTGTGTGTCTGCTTGGCCGGGCTGGCGGCCACGTCTCTCTCAGGGCCATGTGGTCCCTGGGCCTCTCGGCGTGGCTCCTGAGCTGGCCCCTGGACTCAGTGGTGTGGCTTCTCTGCCGCCCTCCTCTTTAGGCAGGTCTCCTCTTTCTGAAATCATTGTATGGGGCTTGTGCAACTCATCACAGTCCATCCATCCATCCCTTGTGTCGAGCACATTGTACATTGGTTGCCATCATTCTCAACACATTTTCCTTCTACTTGAGCTCTTGGTATCAGCTCCTCATTTTTCCCTTCCCTCCCTACCCCCCCATTAACCCTTGATAATTTATAAATTATTATTTTGTCATATATCTTACACTGTCCAATGTCTCCCTTCACCCAGTTTTCTGTTGTCCGTCCTCCAGGGAGGGGGTTATATGTAGATCCTTGTCATCGGTTCCCCCTTCTCTTTCTTTGATTCTGAGATGGCTCACTCTTATATCCCCAGCAGGATGGCAAACCTGACCAGACCCCTCTGTTAGTGGTTCACACGCCCTATTTGTGTAGCCCCACCCAGCCATTTGGTGGGAATTACAAGTAACTTCCTGTCTCCACCACAGGAGGATGACACCTGCTTGACCTTCATGTGCCAGCTCTGGCCTGTGCACAGTGAGCAGAGCCTCCTCTGTCCGTGTCTGTGTCTGCATGTACGTGCCCTTTCTACCTGTGGGTATTGATGTCCTTCCACTCTACCTATGTCGGACAATCTTCCTGCTACCAATTTCCCACCCCCACCCCTCCTCTGGGACTCTACCCGCCTCGCACGCTGCTCAGAATGAGTCATCCTTTGGGCAGGAGCCCCCGTGGCTTCCAGCACAGAGACCTTCTAGAATGGGCTGTCAGCTATGTCTCTGGGGATGTGGAGCTGGCTGGAGGCTGGGTAAAGTTATTCTAGGAAACACAGGCTTGGCCACCATCAACCCAGCTGCCTCTGCAGACCCGGCTTCCATCTTCTGAGAAGCTCTTTATTGCTGATGACCCAGCTGGTATCCATACATCCGCCAAACGCAATTGCTTCCCTGCTAAATAGTGTCGCCCTGTTTGCACACCAGCAAAGCCGAGTGCCCTTGGGGAAATTGCACCTGGCCAGTGGGGGCAGGTGGCAATTGCTCAAAACCAAATAGCTGCCATCGAGTCCATGCCGATTTGATTCATAGCGACCCTATAGGAAAAGGTCAAACCGTCCCTGTGAGTTACAAGACTGTAACTCTAACGAATAAAAAACTCCGTCTTTTCTCCCAAAGAGTGGCTAGTGGTTTCAAGCATCTGACCTTGAAGTTAGCAGCCCAAAGTGTAACCATTAAGCCACCAGGCCTCCCTGGCGGCAAATGCTGATGTCTTTTATTTTGAAAGTGCTTCCCTTTTCGTTTAGTTTGAGTTAATTTTGCTCAAGAACTTAGCATGTCAGGATTCCACACATATTATCAACAGCAAAAACAAACCAGTTGCCTGGACATACCATGCTACTTCTCGGGATTTTAGCGGCTGATTTCTCCGAAGCACATCACCCAGCTCTTCTCCCAAGGCTTCTCTGGATGGGTTGGAACTCCCAGCTGTGCATCCGACCCCACCCACCCACACATAGCAGCCCTATATTGCAGAGTAGAACTGCACCGTGGGGACTTTTGAGACTGTACATGTTTACAGGACCAGTCTGCCTCATCTTTCTAACATGGTGTGGCTGGGGGGTTTGAACTGCCAACCTTGAGGTTAGCAGCACCACATGTAAACCACTGAGCTACCAGGACTCCTTTGGTACAATCCAGGACCGGACCCACGCCCTTTCCCTAGGGACCAGGAAAGTGTTTATTTTGCTGGTTCCTTCACCATGGCGGCACCCTCGGCTGAGTAGAGGCTGACACAGGGACTAAATGCAAAGTAGAGGTTGCCCCAGTGAGACTTCCAGTATGGACAGGAATTCCATTTCCCTTCTGAAAACGGATGAGCTCTATAGTAGGGCGGGGCCTGTGCACAATGGAAAGGCTATTTAAACTTTCATGAGGTTGGCAGCAGGGCATTTGACCCAGCACATTACCTTCCAGGGACGACTGTGCAGTTCTCATCTGAGAAGCAGTGGAAAGTGGATGGGAGGGAAGGTTCTGGAGTCCTTTTATCCTGGGATGTGTACAAGGCCCCAGCTACCACCTGTGCCAAGGTTCCCTTGAAAAGGGGTGTGTACGTGTCTCCTGGGTCTGCTATAATAAAGACTACATAATGGTAGGTTTCCAAACCAGCCTTATTGCCGTCGAGTTGAGTTACCCGGGAGGATAGCGTAGACTGCCCCTGTGGGTTTCCGAGACTGCAACAAAAGCCTCGTCTTCCTTCTGCAGAGCGATTGGTGGATTCAAACTTCTGACCTTGTGGTTAGCCGCCCAAAGCATATCTCACTGCATCAACAGGGCTCCTTGTGGGATGCTTAGGAGAACAGAAATGTATTTGCTCACCGCTCTAGAGGCTGGGAATCTGCAGCCAATGTGTCAAGCAGTCCAGGCGGTCTTTCTTCGAAGGCTGGAGTGCGAAGGCTCTGGACACTCCTTGCCGCTGCAGCATCCTTCTCTGTCTGCCTCTTGCCTTCACGTGGCCATCTTCCAGCTGTCTGTGTCTGTTTCTCTGACCCAGCATTGTCATAAGGACACCACTCACAGGGGATCGAGGTCTGTCCCGCTCCAATGTTGACTTCTGCAAAGATTGTACAAACAAGGCCACACTCCCAGCTACAAGGGTTAGGATTTGTGCACATCTCTCTGAGGGGCAGAACCCAGTCCATCATGGGGTGGGAAGGCCATCATGCTGGTCCTGGTCCAGCGAGCTCCTTGGCCCTGGAGAACTTGTAGACGGCTCTGTCTCCCCAGCCCAGGGCCCCCAGCATGCACTCAGGCCTGCCTTTCTCTTCTTCTCACGTGTAGAAGTTCATTGAGTTTGAAGACGCTTTGGAACAAGAGAAGAAGGAACTGCAAGTCCAAGTGGAGCATTATGAGATCCAGACTCGCCAGTTGGAACTGAAGGCCAGGAACTATGCTGATCAGAGTAAGTAGTCAGCATGCAACACAGTGGCCCCTGCATGTGTCGGCTGTTCTGTGGCGGATCCGGACGGGGCTGTCAGTGATCCGCGTTTCACAGAACTAGTTTTGCGTAAACATTCCTTCCAAGAACACATTGTGCAACGAACTAAGTAGACAGCAGACTTCCTGGAACAATCGCTTGCAGTCTTGATTACAATCCCTTATTTGCTAATGGTAGTTAAAATTTTACAGGAGTCCAGTAATGGGTTTAAAAGCAAAAGTAAGGGGGGGGGATAAATAAATAAAAACAAAAGTCAGGCTAGAGAAAATGGAAATAAAATGAAGTCTAATGTGGGCCCAGGTCGACCAGTTTAGTTCAGTTTTGGGGTTCGCAGACATGCCACCTTTCGATCATGCCTCCACTAAGCGGAGGCGGAAAGCCACAGCGGGGTCACCTTTCTGCAAGGCGTTCAGTCATCTCGTGAGTTCCGGCCCGGAGCCCTGGGATCCTTTCCATCTGTTACTTGTCTTCCCCTTGGCATAGCACTAGCTTTCATTTGACTTTTGTTGCAGTTAGGTTGCAAACAGGGCTATGTTAGAAGAACAATTTGCCTTTTTTTAAAAAATACTTTTATTGGGGGCTCTTATTTCTCTTATCACCAATCCATACATTCCTCCAGTGTGTCAAGCACATTTGCACATATGCCGCCATCATCATTTTCAAAGCCTTCTCTTCCTACTTGAGCCCCTGATATCTGGTCACTTTGGCTTTCTATAAGGGCTGGTTCAAGGTGCAAAATCGCTTTCCTCTCAAAATGTGCCTTCTTTAAAACGTATGTCCTTTGCATATCGAGAGGCATTGTAATGGAGTTCTGAAATTAACAGTAGCATAAAGATTTACAGCCTCAAACCCTGTGAAGCAGTTTTACTTTGTCCTATATAGTTGCTAGGAGTGGTAATTTATTTGATGGCAGTGGGCTGAGTGTTGACTTTGGTGGGTGCAAGGCTGTAATCAGATACAGGTAACGCATCTGCTGTTCTGTGGCTGGTCTGTCAGGATTCTTTTCAGAAGTGCAAGTCGAGCTAGCACTTTATGCATCAGCTTAGGGAAAAATAGCAGTAGATCCAACAACTAGTTAACTTACCAGCATTAGCTACTGATTGAAGTAGTCTAACAAATGCATTGTTTCTTCCAAGTGTTCGTGGGGACTCATGTAATTAGTAAGCAAGAACTTAAGGAAGGTGAGCTTCACAAGGAAGGAAAACTGCACAGAAGTAATATAACCAAGTGAACAGCGTCAAAGTAACAGCTACAACACAATCTGTTCCTTAGTCACTTGCACAGAGAACAGTTTTATCAGCAGAGAAGCCTGCACGTGCAGAGCTCAGCTGATAACATGGGTAGCTGCAATTATGAAACAGTGGCCAAGAGTCCAGCCACTGCAGGGAGGGTCATCTTGGGGTCAGCTCTACCTCAGCCAACTTCTGGCCACATGCGCGTTTCTGAGTGGTCTTCCGTTTTCCAGAGGGGTGCTGGCACGTCCACAAGATGTTCTTGCTCTCTTTAGTAAAGACAAATGCCCTCAACTCTTAACTTCCTACGACTGTGCTGCCCAGAGGTTATTAAAGAAGACTAAGTGTAGTCTTTTCCAATGAGACTCCAGGGACTCTTTTAAGTGGTGTCTCTTACAATATGCACATTCTCCCGCAGTGATGCTAGGCAGGCTTTTGAGAGTGCAAGTGTTTTGCCCATTCACAGCTTCTCCTGCCCTTAGATATGCTAGAATATTGGATTAAAATTTGACAATACATTAGTAAGGTTACATAACACAACTTTCCTTGTTAGGCCCAGTCCATAATTTGGTACCAGGATTTGATCACCTCCTGCCTTTTCCCATGTCGCAATCATATGCATTTGGGCCAACTCTTGTTGTTGCTGTTTTAGAAACTTTTCAAAAAACCAATTCTCAAAAGTCGGAACTGTCAGTAAGATAATTGACCAATACACATGCAAAGTAAGTGCATTTACCAAAAGTGGAAAACATATAAGAATAGCATAACCAGCGCCCGTCCAAAACTGTAGTTGAACAAGACAAAACCAAACGACGACTAGGACAAGACATACTCCAAGGCAATGTGGAAGAAAAAGACAAAAATGGTTCCTTACCCAGAACGTAAAACATCCACAATTCCACAAGAAAGCAGAGTAATCCTTTAGTCCACTCAGACCGATGGAGTTAATTTCTGTTCTACACTCAGCATGGAAATCTTGATGTTGTCTAGTGGTGCCCATCTTCCAAACACCACTATTCGTTTCATAAGTCCAATATATACCCATCTTTTGTTGAAATATTTTGGTCAAGAGTCTTCAGCAAAATAGCAAAGTGAAAACTTCCCTGCTGGTGACAAAGTATAACGGGGCCATGCTTGTCATACAACCACACTTAGGCGGAAAAGACAGGAGGAGGGTTGGTTAGATCAATGGGAAGCCACATAAAGTCAATTAAAATGGTCAGACAAAAATGTGTCTACATGTAACAACCTTTTTTTCAAAGAACATCAGAAATAACACATAATAATTTTGAAACATGATATCCTGTAGTCAGAATATAGCAAGATTATCAAGGCTCCAAACATCTGAATAGAAGTGAAAAAACCTCCAGAAGTAAAGGATGTAAATTGACAAGTTAAAACATTGGCTTTAGTGATGCCAGGGTCAAAAGAAATAAAACTGTGACAAAGTGAGCAATTTGAAAAATAGTAAACTGATAGCATAATAGTATGTGCTTGTTGTCTCATGCCAGGCAGAAACATAAGGAAACATGAACACATGTATTAAGCCAAAGAAAATCAGGTCACAGGCTGGGGGTGGGGCAGGAAGTGTGGGAAGGGGTAACTGATAGCAATGACTGTATAACCCCGCTCTAGGGGAACGGATGACAGAATGGTCGGTGAATGGATACATTGGCTGGTGTAAGAATTATTATATACATATATATACATATATAATAATTATATTATACATATGTAAGATATGGCAAAAAAATTATATATATTAAGAGTTCCTGGGTGGCAGGGCGGGGAAGGGAGGGGATAAAGGGGAGCTGATAACAAAGAGTTCAAGAAGAAAGAAAGTGTTTTTAAACTGATGATGGCAGCAATTGTACAATTATGCTTGATCTAATTGAATTATGGATGGTTATAATATGTTAGAGCTCACAATAAAATGATCCCAAAAAAAGAAAACCAGGTAACATGTCTTGATTTGACAACACATTTCTTGTAACCCTTATCATAAAATAAACCTTTATAGCACTTTCTCTTTATAAAACAGAAACATCTCTTTTATAGCTTTCCACAAAATGTCAAAGTTGTCAGTTTATCATTAGTCATCAAGAAACAATACTTAAATTATCTAACCCAAAATCCTAAAGGAACGAAGCCTTGCCTCTTTTGCGAAGCCACAGACTTGGCTGTTGGCTCTGGACATGTTCTGCCGACCCCATTCCTGCCCTTCGAGGCACTTACACAGAGTACATTCACTCCTCAACCCAGGAACTAGAGACAGTTTAAAACTTAACAGCAAGAGACTCAGTTCTTTGCTATCTGAAACCAAAGCTTTTAACAATGCTCATCAATTTAACTCTTCAAAATTACAGCGGGGCAGATAAAAGCCTTGCGTCAAGTAAATTTCTTTTTTTGTACACTTTTTAAACTTTGTACTTCATTGCGTATCTCTTATAGGACAGCCCTGTAAGTGGCAATAATGAAACAGTCGTGTGTGGACCAGACACACACATGTGTACACTCTTTCTTTGGTATCAAGCGCAAAAGCATATGAATAGTGAAAAAGCATTTGAACAGTAACTTGATTTCATTGGCTCAGTGGCTACTGTGGGGGTTTGTGTCACAAAGTGCCCTGATATCCCGCTGCTCTGGCCCTTCTCGTGTCCCTGCTTGACCATTCACAGGTCCTTTTTATTGGCCGAGAGCCCCCACCCCACCCCGGAGTCTTTCAATATGCTCAAACTTGTGTCCACATCTTTTGGGGCCTTAAAAGACTCTTAAGATGCTTTCAGAACAACCATATACAACTTGATCCCATTCTTTCTGAGTCTAAGCCATTGTAACAGCTAGTGTCTTACTTTAAACATGAGGGCAGGTGGTACTAAAACAATTAAAAAATGTACCAGTATAGCTCCTTAGTTTGTTTAGTTAGGTCCCCAAACAGTGCCCTCCTTCAGGGAAACAATTTTGCTATTTTGGTGTTTCTTAGAAGCTTCCAAAACTTGCCACTGTCCATGTGATTTCAACTCATAGCGACCCCACAGGACAGAGCAGAACTGGCCCTGTGGATTTCTGAGATTGTCACTTACAAGAGCAGAAAGCGTCATCTTCCTTCTGGGATCCGCTGCACCACGAGGGCTCCTAGATGCTTTCCAGTGTCAGTCAAGATCGGTGTCCCAGCTTCCGAGAATATAGCTTTTTACTACAGGAGATAGCCTCCTCTGTCTCCCACGGAACAGCTGGTGGTTTTGAACTGCTGACCTTCCAGCTAATACCCAGCTCATAGAACTACTCCACCACCAGGGCTCCCCAGCTCACTGCACAGAGAAACTAATTTAGATCAATCCCAAGAACTCCAGGATGGCCATTGCTTCTGCAGGCTACCCCTTGTAAGTTGTTGCTAGCCAGACAAAAACTCTCGCCTTAAAGAACTAGTATGTGGATGTCGTGAGCGGATGTCCCAGAGAGTGGCCCTGTGATACCCTTAGATGTAGCATTCCTCATTTTCCCAGAAAAAATGGTAAGATTCACTCTCAAGAACAGAAACAGACCCAGCAACAGAATTCAAAGAGCGAACTTGCAGCGGAGTGGAGCTTGCATTTGAGAGGTCAGCCGCTTTTCAGTAACTCCTGATGGGTGTGTGGGTGGAACCCACAGCTAGAGGTCTCAGCAGCTCAGGTGTTACCCTAGGGAATGCCCCTTCGAAAGGCTGCTTCTGATGTCACAGAAGCAAACTCAGTATTCTCTGCCCATCTGGAGGTCTCTGGAGATCAGGGTCCCACAGAACTGGTATTGTAGGGGACCTGGTGCAAGCATTCCTTCCAAGAGCCCCTTGTGGGAGGAAGTGAATGCACAGCAGGCGCCCCGGAATCTTAACCACAGTCCCTTGTTTGCTAAAGGCAGTTAAAAGTTTGACTGGAATCCAGTGGGAGGTAAAAAGCAAAAGCAAGGCCGGAGGACACACGGCACTGGACGTCAACTGGCGTCTCATCTGGACCTGGGTCAGCCAGGGCACTGAGGCCACATGTCTTAGGCTTGGCGGGGGGTGGGGGTGGGGTGGGAGGGGTGTTTACAAATGTAGTGGCAGAAATACCACAAATGGGTGGGTTTAATGATCAGAAATTCTCATAGTTGGGTAGCCTGACAATCCAAATTCAGGGCGCCAGCTCTAGGGGGTCCCCGCCTTTCCTTCTCTGCCTTCTCTGGAGGAAGGCCCTTGCCTCTCTGAGCTTCTGCTTCCAGGGGGCCTCCTGTAGCTCAGCTCAGCATCTCTGCCCCGTCTCATGTCATGTAAGGGACTGATGCAAGACACTCCCTGGACTAATGCTATCTTAGGAACCAATGGTCAACCCATTTCCCCAACAGCATCATGACCAGAGGCGTCCAAGTCATACCCAGCCCACTGCTGAGTTGACCCTGAATCCCAGTGGCCCTACAGGATAGGAGAGCTGCCCACAGGGTCTCTGTGAGCCGGCTCTGCCTCCTCTTCTCCCCGGGAGCTGCTTGTGGGCTTACACCACTGGCCTTTCAGTTAGCCAAGGTCTGAGTCCCTGCACCGCCAGGGTTCTTTACCATGGGTGCACAAGTTCAGTGTAGGATACCTGGGTGGGGGGATGCAGTTGCACCCAATATAGTATAGTGGGCTCAGGTGCCATGTGCCTTCTTTCAAGAAATTCAGAGCAACTCGGGGTGAATAACCAGTTGACACTCTGAGCCTCTCTCCCGGTCCCTGTCTTAAGTCCAGGGTGAGGGCAGTTTGTGAGGCTGTGGCAGAGGACAGGCTGGTTGCTTGTACATGCTTACAAGCAGGTCTCAGCGCCCCCCATCCCTGATCCCCTGAAGGTTATCCTGCTTTCTCAGCAAGTTCACTCCCCACCCTTTTGGGGAGTCTGCTCTGCTCCCTGCCCCTTACCCTCCCATTCCCAGCTGTCTTAGAGGGTCTATCACACCTCCTATCCCATCACAGAGAGTCTATCACCCCCACCCCTGCTGTCAGTGGGTCCACTGCCCCCACTCCGCCCATCTCAGAGGGATGACTGCTGTCCCCCTCCCACCACCCCATTACAGAGGATCTGCCCTCCTACTGCCCCGGTGGGTCCACCGCCCCCTGCTGCCTCAGAGGGTCCGCCCCCCCAGTTGAGCCTCCTTGTGTTTTCCAGTTTCCCGGCTGGAGGAGCGGGAGTCGGAGATGAAGAAGGAGTACAACGCACTGCACCAGAGGCACACGGAGGTACGCGCCCCACTGCTGCCCTGCCGACGCACCAGCCCTTCCCGGAGCGGCCGGAGGGGACCGGGCACAGCTTCCTGGGCACTGATGCGCCCCTTTCTCGCAGATGATCCAGACGTACGTGGAGCACATTGAGAGGGCCAAACTGCAGCAGGTTGGCGCCAATGGCCAGACGGAAGGCAGCCTGCCAGGGAGGAGGTGCGCAGGGCCTGGCACTGGGAGGCGGGGGTGTCTGGTCATGTCTATGCTCCCACAAGCCCTCTGTGGGGATAATCCACCCTCACTGTGTGCCTGGGATGGGGGGGGGGTGTGTTTGGACTCCCAGGGCCATGCACCCAGCTGTTCCTCGAGCAGCCCTTGCCAACCCCATCAGGAAGGATGTGCCCTTAGGTGTGAGGTGGGGCTGCTGTGACTCTGGGTGGGGCAATCAGGTCATAGGTCAGCATATTCTGTCTTCTGTGCCCTTGGATCAGGAGAAAACAGGGTCAGGACCCTGGAGCAATGGCTGAGGAGGGCGTCGGAACTAATGGGGCCCTGTGCTGCAGGGCCGGCCCGAGTCCCGGGTGTCAGGGATGACGAGGGCTGCAGGGGCGGCCTGGGCTTGTGCTAGGGCACTGGGTTGCATCCTGGACATCAGAGGTAATAGGGTCTGCAGGGGGATCCTGACCTGTTGCACAGCCAGTGGTCCAAGACCCCTTGCCTGCAAGGGTGATAGCTGGCACCTTTAGTCTCAGCATAACCGGGCCCTTATAACTCCTTTCCTGGGTGCCTGGTCCTTTAGTGGGCCTTGTCTGCAAACAAGAAGCCACCTGTTGCCTCTGGACCACAGGAACATCCCAGGGATATCACAGCATCATTACCTCCTATGCTTCCGAAGCCTCTGCTTTCAAAACTAAAGTGCACAGGCATGCACACGAAAGGGTGGTATGTGTGTGGTTACTGGGTAACGGAGCTCTGGAAAGAGCCCTGCAGGGTGTTGCTGTGGGGTCAGTGCCCAGGGGAAGGGCAGCGCTGGGGCTGTGTGGGCCTGGCTGTCCACGAGGTCCACGAATGGTCATGGACCTGACCTAAGCCCTGCCCCAAGCGACCCTGCATCTCAGAGTGCACCTCAGGGAGCAGAGCATGCACCCTCACACAGGACTGGGCTGTGTGGTCTCTCCAGCAGACCTCCCTGGGAGCTCCGGGCAGCAGCTCCAGCAGCAGACTGGCCCCTCTTGGGTGTCTGTGATGAGACATGGAGAGAAGCCCTGGCTGAGCTGCCCATGCAGAGAAGGTTGACCCATGTCCACGGGCTAAGGAGCCCTGGAGCTGTACCCTCGTCACTACCGAAACGGGACTGGGAGCCTGTGGCTGCTGCAGCCACGCCCACAGGGATGGCCTCTATGTCTAGGCCAGCCCTGCCTTTGTGTCCAGACACTGCACATGCAGTGGGGAGCTGAGCTGTGCTCTCTGTGGCTGGAAACAGCCCCCCAGGTATGTGTAGGGACGCCTTACCCTCTGCCCCTGGAGGACACTTGTGACAGCCACAGTTCTGGAAGCTGAGAACCCACCTGCTTTTCCTCCACTGCTGGCCGGCGCTCTGGCCTGTGGTCATGGAGGGCGAACCTGCGAGCTCACATTGCTCACAGCACTGCAGACTCGGTGCCAGGGGCTAGGCTGCGTGGCATGTTCTGTGTGTACTTTGTCCCTGTGTGACCACAGTGTGTGTTGTGTCTCTGTGTGATCAAGGCCTGTGCTGAGTCCCCATGTGACCCATGGTGTGTACTCTGTTTATCTGTGTGACCATGGCGTGTTCTGTGTCCCCATGTGACCACGGGATCTGCTGTTTCCTGGTGTGACCATGGCATCTGCTGTGTCCCTGTGTGACTACGGCCTATGTTATATCCTCATGTGATCATGACATGTGCCGTGTCCCCATCTGACCATGGCATGTTCTGCGTCCCTTTATGACAATGACATATGCCACATCCCCATGTGATGTGTACTCCTGACATGTGCTCCATTCCTGGGTGTGATTACAGTATGTCCCCCTGTGTGTGATGATAGTATGCTCTATGTCCCCATATTTGTACACACCGTCTGTAACTGTGGCATGTGCACTGAGTGTGACAGTGACCATGGGCTGAAGCTCAGCGGGTGTGTGTGTCCACATATCTGTGTGTCCGGCGGTGGTGCCAGTCAGGTGCTGACCCATCTGCAACGCCCCCCATAGTCTGTGTCTCGTGCACATGGGAGCAGACGAGAGCCTGCCTTCATCTCTAACGGTGTTTTCTCGCCTGCTTCCTGTGCTTCCCGCTGGGCCCTGCCGCCGTGTCTCGCCCGCCCGTAGTCCTCGCCAGTCGTGGAGGAAAAGGTAACTGGGTACCCCTTCTCCCCCTCACCCACCACCCCCCAGAGCCTTTGACTCTGATTGCCTGATGGGGAGCAGCAGCTGTGGCTTCCTGCCAGCCCCTCAGGGTCGGGGTTGTCTGGGCAACATGCAGTCCAGAAGTGGCACTTGTGAAACTTCGGCATTTGGTAGACCACTCAATTGGGGCGCTGATTCCTGAGCCCCCTACAGCTCCCCAACCTGGGCCTGCTGTCCTGCTCTTGCCTACTTGGCACCGGTCGCTCCCCAGAACAGAAACCGATCTGGATGAGTTCCGCTGCCATGTCCCTGCTGCCCAAGCTGAAGGCCATTGCTGTGGTCCCAGACCTGGTGGTGCCCCAGTGCACTACCTGCTGGGATCCCTCATTGTGTTGCACAAAGGTGCAACCCGAGTTTGAATAGCCTCATGGAGTTGCAGGCCAGCACCTAGAGGACCTGCACCCGGTGTGGGCACAACCACACGCTGCCTGTGTGCAGAGAATTTCATAGAGACTCTACACAGGTGTTCCTTCCCCATCCCGCAGGGTCTGTGGGCCAGGTCTGCTTGGGGCCCACTTGGAGCCTTCACCTCAGCTCGTGTCAGCGTGCAGCACAGTGAGCCCTGGACGGCAGTCGGGGCCATGTGAGGGAACTGTGGGCACCAGAGGCCTGGGCCTGGCCTGCCTGCCATGTCAGAGTAGGCTGGCCATGCTCACCTCTACAGCCAACTGTGCCCACCTGGGCCTGGACAGTGAAGGGCACTCGGGCTGCCTTACAGGACAACCCAGCTGGGACTCAGGCAGTGGGGCATGACGACATCAGTGGGTTCGAAGACTTTCGGATGTCTCTCCTTGGGTCTGAGCTTCTTCAGCTCCTCAAAGGGCAGGACTGAGAAGCCAGGCCAGACTGAAACCAGAGTCATCCTGCATGGCACGTCAACTTCCTGAGAGCTTGCTATCAAGTCAGCGGGGGGCCCCAGCAGTTCCTCCCCTGGATGTGCCCCCCAGGCCCTTACAGCAGGGACCCCCACGGACACCCACCCACTGGGCTCACAGCCATCGCCAGGATGGAGTGGACAGCCCCAGGGTCTGCCAATAGGTGACAGATAACCACAGCTGCTTCACACCCAGTGGCAGGGCACACAGCCCTCAGAGAACAGGCTGCTCGATCAAGGAGCGGGGCAGTGAAAAAGAGGGAGACCCTCAATGAGGGGGGTGGCCCCGTGGCTGCCACAGTGGGCTCCAGTGTGGCACAGGGCTGGGCAGGAGGACGTGGCTGAGACATGAAGTCCTGACGTGGCTGCAGCCTGCATGCAGCCGGAAAACACTGTGCCGGGTCCGATCAGTCAGGCACAAAGGACAAGTGCGTGAGCCCCTGCAGGAACGATCTAGAACAGGCAAGACCACCGAGATGAAGGAGAACATTTGACTGCCGGTGGGTAGGAGAGGGAGAAGGGGCGTTCAAAGAATCTTCATGAAGCTTTATCAAGGGCGGTATGGCTTATCGTCAGTGCTGCTTCATGGCTGCTTCATCTGACAGCTAACAATGTGACGGCTGGGAAGTGCCCACAAACAGCCCCTTCCCCTCGGGAGGCGAGCCGTGCAGAACAGCTCAGAGGATACCCCCGTGAGACCCCCACAGAGAAACCTCCAAAGGACCTTCACAGGGGGCCCCCACAACAGATCTCACAGGAGACCCCGCATAGGACCCCTCAGGAAACACCTACAAAAGACCCCCCTCCACAAAGAACTCCCACAGAGGATGCCCCTTAGAAGACCCTCACCATAGACTCCCACCACAGCAAACCCCACACAGAGAGGACCACCCCCAGATGATCGCACCAGGGATCCCCCACAAAGGAGGAGACCTCCCCGCTCTGTCTCCTGCCTGAGGTGCGGCCGGTGCAGGGCAGGGGGTGTGCACCCTCGGCCCCCACTTCTCTCGGGGGGGGGGGTGTTCTGAGCTGGCGGTGGCTCTGGGTCTGGGACCCTCATGCTGCAGGTGGCTTGTCCCCGCCCTCTCCTTGTGGGCTAACGTGGCTCTGTGTGGTCCTTCACCTCTGCCATCACAGCTGCCCCAATGTCCTTACCCATGAAGCTCCATCCGTGACCCCACCATCACACCTTCCTCGTGGTTCCAGGACCCCGATCTGCTCCCTCCAGGGGTGGGTGAAGAAAGGGTCATGAGAAGGTCCCACCAGCAGAGTTGTAGGGGCCTCATCATCACGCCCCGGGATTTCTGCTATAAACCAGGATTGCAGTGGTGACCCCCTTTGGCTGTGAGCCTTCCTCTGAGTAAGGGTGGGGTAGGCTACGGGGTCACTCGGCTGGAGGGCCTCACCCTCCCACAGCCAGCTTACGCTGCGGCAATCAGAGCTCGCAGAGCAGCTCTCTGGATACCAGGAAGCTCTGGGCCGTCTGTCCCCACTCCGTCTAACGCCCACTTCCTCTCTTCCCCACACCCCAGCAGGAAGGAGCGTCCCACCTCACTGAATGTCTTCCCCCTGGCCGATGGCATGGTACGTGCACAGATGGGGGGCAAGCTCACGCCTGCGGCAGACCACTGGCGCCCGAGTGACCGCAGCCAGCTTCCGGCCAGTTCCAGCTACCAGGTTTTGTAGCCATGCAGGGCTCCCGGTCACCAGCATGCCCTGCTCACCCAGGCAGGCCAGCTCCAGATGCCCAAGGCGGGCTGGGAGGGCAAAAGCAGCGGGCCCTGGGGTAGGGTTGTGGGAGCAATACCCCTTCAAAGAGCACCTTCGGCCCCAGCAGTGACCCGCAGCCAGCGGCACCCACTACTGATCCCTCCTCCAAAACAGCGTCCGCAGCCTGGAGTGGTGGGGTAGTGTGTGCTCCTGCGACCTGCCTGCTTCTTCCAGGTGACACCCTCTCTGTCTCTGAGCTTGGGGTCGGTGGGTGGCCCCTGCAGGTGCGCACTGCCCCCTGGGTGCTCCCTGAGCTGAGGGCTGTGGGCCAGAGGTGGGCAGGGCAAGGAGCAGGGTCGGCACAAGTGCAGGAGGCTGAGGCCAGGGGCAGTTTCTGAAGCTCCTGCCGCTGCCCCTCGGCATGCCGTTTCCTCAGCCTTGGGCATCTCACCTGCCCACAGAGTGGGGCCAGCTGCAACAACCAGAAAGTGACCCTCGCTTCTGCTGCTTCTGTGTGCACACACGTCTGTGGTAGCTGGTGGGCCCCACCCTGTCATCTGCGAGTGATGGCACCCACGTGTATGCACACACACATTCACATGCTCACATGCACGTTTGCTCACGCACACTTGCTCATATGCTTGCTCCCACCCCACCCCCACATGCTCATACACACAAACAAGCTCCCATGTGCTCACACACACTCAGACTCAGACGCCCATGGGCTCACACGCGCTGCACACATACATGCATACACACTTAAGCCGTCACTCACAAGCGCTCGTGCAAACAGCCTGGGAGCTGGAGTTTTCCTGGAAGGTGGAGCGTCCACAAAAGATAGGAATCAGTGGTGCCTGTCAGCCTTCCCGGGGTGCGCAGGTGGGGCCGACACCCCTCACACCCATATGTACTGGCTCTTTGTTCTCGGCGGCCTCTCCCTCCTGCTTCCCCTCTTCTCTCGTCTTGTCTGGAGGAGTCTCCCTTCTCAGTCATGCCACGGTGTTACATGTTTCAGTTCACGTGTCCATTTGAGTTGCTTTTATTTTTTTTAGTGCATTTATTTCATGCCTTAGTTTTGAAAGTTTTGCTCATTTCCTCATTTTTTATTGTTTATGTTTTGTTTTTTGTTGTTGTCTTATGTACTGTATTTTCAGTGTTTTAACCAAACAATTGTGGCTCCTCCCGGAGAGGAGTGAGGGGCCCTTTGAATTTGGAGGCCACTGCTCCCCGTGATGGTTAGCAGGTTGAGAGGCCTGCCTGGCGGTAAGTGGTGGCCAGGGGGAGTGTCCCATGGGTAAGTGGTGGCCCGCTAGGAACTCAGCACTCGGGCACCAGGGAGGCATGGCCACAGCAAAGAAGCCGTAGCATGCAGGCCCAGGGAGCCCGGTCTGCCCAGTGTGTGCCCACTGAGCTGGCAAGGGGCTGTGGTGGTGGTGGCCAGGAAGTCACCTGCTCTGCAAGGCGCGGGTGCCCATCTAGTTGGGTGGTAGCATGCTGTGGAACACACAGGTCCCTGGGCATGGGATCAGGCTCCTCCGTGCCCAGCCATAGCCTGCAGTATGGGGACACGTGCTAGCTCAGCCAGCTTGGAGGCACAGGGCGAAGAGGGGTGTCCTCCAAAATGTTGGGGTGCAGCTGTTCCCAGTAAACGAGGGGCAGGCTCAGGTGGGTTGGCACCCTCAGGGGGGGCCGTCCTGGCTCGGCCCAGCAGGTGACCACCAAACCCGGGCACTGCTCTGTGTCCCTGGGCCGCCTCACAGTGGTGCAGCTGCTGCAGAGCAAGCGCTGGGTGTCAGGACTCCTAGTTGCAGGATGGAGAGGGACCCCCACCTTCCGTCTGTGCCCAGAGCGCACCATGTCTGGGTGGGAGCAACCTCAGCCTCAGAGTCAGTGCTGTGTCTGATGCTTGGCTGTGGCCTGGACGCCCCTGTCTGTCGCCTGTTGGTCCTGGTGCCCTCATGATGACACTGGGTGGGAGACCCAGCGTCTCCGGCACGAAGCATGGCCGCAGCCTGCGTGTCCTCTGGGAGAGGCGTGTTTTCCTGCAGGGCTACTGGCCAAGGCATCTCTGGGCACCAGGTGGGGTGGGCTGGGGGCTGGTGTCACAGAGGCCCGTGACCACCACAGGGGCGCTGCACTAAGGCGACAGGAGAGTGTGGGGCGGGAACGTCATTTGGGGGGTGACTGCTCCAAGTTCCATGGTCATCAGGGTGGCACTGGAGCCACACACTGCCCACTCAAGGGTGTCGGGGACAGCTGGTCAGATGCCTACACCTGCTGGGCAAGGTCTGTGCCCAACACAGTGACCTTAGAGGCTGCCTGCCACATCCACAATCCCCCAGCCTATGGGACTATGCCAGCCATGAGCCATGGCCCCATCCATCTCCCCCCAGGAAGCTGCCTCAGACACAGGGCTGTGGATGAGGGCAGCCACGCTGACCCTGTGGCCTCTGGGGGGGCCACACCATCACACACCTTCCTGTGCTTGTCACAGTGTCCCCATGATGAGATGTCGGAGTCTGGCCAGTCCTCAGCGGCCGCCACACCCAGCACCGCGGGTACCAAGTCCACCACGCCCACATCCTCTGTGCCCTCAGCCACGGCCACACCCCTCAACGAAAGCCTGAGGCCCCTGGGGGAGGAAGGCAGTGGCGCCAAGAGCAGCAAGCGGGCGCGGGAGAAGCGCCGCAGCCGCAACATGGAGGTGCAGGTCACACAGGAGATGCGCAACGTCAGCATTGGTGCGCCTGCGCCCTCCCTGACCCCCGTGGCACTGGGCAGAGATGAGCTCCCTGGGGTGGCCACTGACCCCCTCTGCTGTGCTCCCAGGGATGGGCAGCAGTGACGAGTGGTCCGATGTCCAGGACATCATAGACTCCACCCCAGAGCTGGACGTGTGTCAGGAGCCGCGTCTGGACCGCACTGGCAACAGGTACGCTCCAGCTGCTCCCGGGGTCCCCAGTACCCTTCCCTGCTCAGGGCACCAGTGGGTGCGGCTGTCGAGCTCAGGGTCAGAAGGGTCTAGCAAGGGTGGACCCTATCTGCTGACTCCCCCTTCCCTCATTCTCCCAACAGCCCCACCCAGGGCATTGTGAACAAAGCTTTTGGCATCAATACCGACTCTCTGTACCATGAACTGTCAACCGCCGGGTCAGAGGTCATCGGGGACGTGGACGAGGGCGCCGACCTGCTAGGTGAGAGGCTCTCACTGCTGACTGCAGGGCCATGTGCCTCATGGGGGTCTGGCAGTAGCCATCCTTTCAGCACGCTCCTGAAACACATTGTCACCCCCCACGGCCCACCCCACACTCGGCCCCCACTTGCCATGCACATGCTTTTTCTCTGGGCTCTGCTGCATCCGCAGAGGTACACTGTCACCACCATTCAACTTCACCACTTGCACATCACTCCAGAGAGCACCCTAGCTGCAGGTGTCACCCCAGGCGATCTGCATTCTGGCTACTCGCAAGCACCCACGGGCTCTCTCTTGCTTGTATGAGGAAAGCCGCCAGACAGGGTATTGACCCTCTAGCCCCTGGTCTACAGGACCTGCTCACCTCTGGCCTCCAGCTCCACTGCCTCCTGGGATCCTGAGAAGTTGGCTGGGGCGGGGATCCTCCCTCAGAGCCTTGAGGCTTGCCTCCGAGTCACCCTGAGCCCAAGAGCTTCAGGGTGGCCTCCTCCGGAAGCTGCAGAAGCATGGGCTGTGTCAGCTTAAACACCTCTGGATTGAGCCTGTCTGCTCATGGGGTAGTAGGGGAGGTGACGCCTGAACTTAGAAGATTTGCTGTGAGCCACATAAGGGGCTGGCGGGGCTTTCTGCTGAGCATCAGCCTTGCCTGTGCTTCCTTGCCCAGCTGCGTGCTGCTTCTCTGCCCCTCCCGTCTAGAGCTGGTTGGGGTGGAGCCTGGAGGTGTTCAGCACCCATGCCACCTCTGCCTAGCACACTTGAATCCAGCACACTAATAAGGCAGGTCATGTTTTCTCTGGTGCACACCCCCATGACAAGCACTCAGAATTCTTCCTGCATAGAAACACCAGCTGAGGACGGTCAGACACGGGGCAGCTCACTTCTCTGAGGTGTTCAGCTTATGCTCCACACAGGTGCTTCCTGAGCAGCTGGTGCTTCTGGACAATGGGATGTGTGCTCGTGATCCTATTCAGACAGTTCCGGGAAGAGCTTGAAAGCCAAGGGGGTCCCAGCCCACTAGTCCATGAGTGCCTTCATCTCCCAAAGAACCCCACCCCCTTCAGCAGCCCCCCGCCCACCCCTCAAGTTCCTGTCCTAGACCAGGCCTTCGCGAGACTTGACAGCATGAGGGAGGGGCTGTAGAAGGTGGTGGGAGCGTGGGTCTAGAGGGGCAGTGGACGAGTTCTCCAGGTCTGCCTCCCCTCCAGGTGCTTGGTGCTCCGAGGTGGGGGTCTGTTGACCCCTTGTTCGGTTTCAGCCAGCTTCCCGAAAGTGGTCATCAAAAGTGGTGACCCTGGCCTCAAGTGGTTCCTTCCGTCCAGCACTACCGTCGTCTCTGCTCACTCACAGATGGCGACAGCCTCTAGAGCAGCGGTTCTCAACCTGTGGGTCACGACCCTTTCACAGGGGTCACCCGATTCATCACAGTAGCAAAATGACAGTTATGAAGTCGCAACAAAAATGATGTTATGGCTGGGGGTCACCACCACAGGAGGACCTGTATGAAAGGGTCGAGGCATGAGGAAGGTTGAGAACCGCTGCTCTGGAGGCTCAGCCTGGAGGGCTTGAGAGGCCCGAGACAGCAGGCTGCTGTCAGAGTGCTGAGACTGGAGACTGAGTCACTGGGGAGGGAAGGGGCGGCACCCAGCTAGTGCCGAGGAAACAGAACCCAGGGAGTGCCATGGCTGGGAATCCCACGCAGTGCTGCCCCTCCCCCCAGGCCCGGTGGTAGACAAATGAGAAGCCGGCCCACCCACCCAGCACCATTCACTTCAGACCTGGAGTTCAAACACGCTGGTCTGATATCATAGCCACACGCCGCGCTCCTCAGCCATGTACCACCTAAAGTCACAGCCAGGGGTGAGAGAAGGGCCTCGGGGGCATCACAGGAGAAGACGGTAATGAACGGGAGGACTTGAAAGAAGTCTAAATGAAAGAAACCTAGCACGGTCTTGGACCAGGCTGCACCACCAGGAGTAATTCCATGGCTCCCGACCTTTAGGGGGACTTGGTACATGAATTCTGAAGGGCATTTGGAAGGGTTAACTGTGAGACCAACACCAAAAGTTTGGAAAAGAACAAGTTTGCAAGATCACTATCCCAGGTATCAAGCCATAAAGTTACAGTAACAGAAACCAAACCACATGCTCTGGGCAGTGGCCAATGGTGTGAGCTCAACAGCAGGCCATGTGGCGCTTCAAACTCTCATGAACTAGGTGGGTTAGTCTATCAATGACTGGATTTACGGAAGAGCCAACGGAAAAAAGTCAAGCCTGATCCCAACCTTACACCACGAACACAAAAACGCACACTCAGCATTGAAGCTCCAAACATAAAAGCACAATGATAATAGGTCTGGGAAAGAACGCTGTAGGATATTGTTGCCATCTGGGCTTCGTGCTACACGACAGGAAACATGGAGGGAGATACACTGTGGCTACACGACAATCAGGAAAATACGTTTTTAAGTGTGATATATAGACACATATACAGGTACACATGCCATACTCTGCCCTCGAGCTGATTTGGACTCACAGCTACCCTTTAGGACAGAGTAGAACTGCTCCTGTGGATCTCTGAGATGCTAAGCGAGGAGAAAACCTCATCTTTCCCAAAGAGCAGCTGGTGGTTTCAAACTGCTGACCTTGCAGTTAAGCAGCCCAGCGAGTAACTGGTTCACTGCGCCACTGGGCTCCTACACACACAGTTCATGCACATGTGCACACACACAGGCATGCACACCCGTGCATATATTTGACGTTAGCCGCCATGGAGTCAGCCCTCAGTTCATGATGCCCCACACCCAGTGGAAGGAACCATGGCTCGGTTCTGGAGTTCTGTGCCGTCGTCTGCAGGTGGCGGAGGCTTGGACTGGCGTGTCATCAGGACTTGGGAGGTTTCCATTTGCTGACTCTCAGGCCTCCAGGCCTTTCTCCCTAGTCTGTCTCAGCCTTGAAGCTCCATGAAACTTTTTCAGCAGCATGGGACATGCGCTGGCGGGCACCAAACTTAGGTCCCCCTCGTGGAAGTTGAGAGCTCTGCCAGCCACTGAGCCCCACCCCCCTGTATGCATCTAAGGTCCCCATCTGTAAAGCAAAAAAACCCAGGTGAAAGAGGAAGCTCAGAGAAGACAGCGGACTCCGGGCAGACTGGCTCAAAGTGACAAAGGCCGAGTAGACTCTTGGCTCTCAGAGACCCTGTCTAGGAGGCAGCGGTGCCTTTTTCCCTTGGAGGAGCTGATGGGTTTGAACCTCTGACCTTGCAGTTAGCAGCCCAGTACCTGACTCCCTGCCCCAGGGAAGCTCCTTAAAGGGGAGAAAGTCCCCGGTTGGGTGGGCTTTCTCCCCTCCAGCAGAAGGGCTAGGCCGGGCAGCTGTCCCCACACAACTGTAGTGACAAAATCACAAAGGCCCTGGATGTCTTGGACAGGACGTGTGGTGGCAGAGCCTGTAGAGGCTCTGCCCAGCAAGGGTGGCCCCTCAGAGCCTAGGTGACAAGGAGCTTGCCCGTTCATAGAGCCTGAGGAGAAGCACCGTGTCGCCAGCAGTCGCTGAAGCGTTCTCATAGGTCCCCTCCTTTGTTCTTAGAAGGGCCCTACCAGCAGTGCTGTGTGTTGTCACTGAAGGGACTTTTCAATTTTGTTCCCTCACACCATTGTATTAGGAGCTAATCTGGACATACCATTCCATAGAGACCAGCCATACCAAGCAGTGCTGGACAGTTGTTACCACAATCATGAAGGGACTTTGTGTCTGAGCCGCCTGCTGGAGAAGGCTCAGTCATTCCCACTGCCCCACCGTTTAGGGACAGCGGAGAGACCCCCCAACCCTGCTGCCCAATCCCCTGCATGTCCCCAGCCCCGCCGTGCCCCTCACTCTGCCCCACTTCCCTCCCTGCTATGCGGAGCCCCAATTCTGGTCCTTCTCCCCAAGATCCAGGCATGTCCCAGGCCAGCCCCAGGGTCTCCCTGCAGGTCAGCATGGGTCCCTGCTGAACACAAGCCTGTGGCCACATGTGCACGCAACATTCCTGTGCTCATGAGTATACACTCTTCACATGCCTCAGTCCCAACAGGGGTCTGCCGATTCCTTGAGGAGCTGGGGGGTTGGGGAAGACCAGACTCGATTGCGGGCTGTCCCGCAGCAGCCTCTGGGCCCTGGGGTTCTGGGTGGCAGGTGGGCAGGGGGTGGGGGCGCACAGTGCTGCCACTGGCCAGCTGAGTCTCCATGCACTGACTGTCCTCTTTCTTCCTGTCTGCGCTTCGCTGGACGCGGCCCAGGGGAGTTCTCAGGTGTGTATCTCCCACCCCTCCCCACTCGTGGCCCAGGTGGGGAGTCACACAGGGGATACTCCCCTGCTGCCGTCCAGTCCCCTCTGGCTGCGCAACTGGCCCCTCCCTACTGCCCCAGCGCCTGTGCTACAAGCTCTTGCTGGCTCCTCCCCACCCCCTGCAGGGCAGGGTTGCTAGCCCCATAAGCCTTTGCACCTCTGAGTGTGGCCAGTTGCTGAGACAGTAGCAGGAGGGCCCTATACCCAGCACAGCTCACCATGCCCCTCTCCACGTGCACAGATGGATGGCGGTCCACTTCCAAGCTCCATCCAGCCTGATGTGGCCATGAGGCCACTCAAGGGACACTCACACCACCCCCTGCAGTGACCCCTCTCTCAGACTGGCCCAGCTTGCCTCCCTCCCTCATGGTGCAGCCCCACAGACTAGCCCAGATGGCTGGGGCAGGAGTGGCGGCCACCTGTCCCTCTCCTGCCTCCCTCCAGCCCAGCTCCCCTCCGCCAGAGACTGCCCCCTGCTGTTCACCACGGGCTTAACGCGCTTGTCTTCTCTCCCTTCCTCCCTCCCTCTCTCCCTCCCTCCCTCCTGGCACTGGGACGCCCCATAGTGCGTGATGATTTTTTTGGTAAGGCCAAGGCCGCATTTCCGAATGTGCCCCCACATCTGGTCATGCTTCACGTGCGGTCTGCTCTGTCCTGCATGGTTGCGGCGGGGTCAGCGCGCTATCCGGGGTGGGCTGCGGGAGGTCGGCTTGGCAGGCACCTCACCTTCCCTAGCCGCCAAGCCCTAGGGTGCTTCCCCCGGGTGGTCGACAGTTCCCATCCCCTGCGAGTTCCCCGGGCAAGGAGCAGGACCATGGGGACATGGGCTGTGGGTTTGCACGTGTGCGCGGGCACGGTGGCTGCCCTGTGGAGGGGAGAGGACTGGGGGCGCAGATGTCAGCTCTCAGGCCGACTCAGCCTCGCTGGGATCAGGGCACAGAAGGTCTTGTTCTTCGGATGGTGTGCCCGCGGCTGAGAGTCACTGCAGCCCCTGGTGTTTGGCACCATGGCCCGCTGCCCTCCCTTCCTGCTGCCATTGGCCCATCCCATCCATCGGGCGGGGTTTCTCTGCGTTCATCTTAAGTACCACAGTGAGAAAAGGCCCTTCGGGTGCCCCCATCCCCCAGCTGGGGTGATGTTTGAGGGGTAAGGAGAGCTGAGAGAACCACCCCAAGGTGTCATTCCCTCTCGGTCTGCAGCGACCCAGTTCAGATGCCCCTTAGGGTCCCCCTTAAGGCCTCGCAGCCACCCCCACGATGACTTATCCCGGATAGCGTCTGGGCCAGGCTGTCTCAGCCCGGCTTGGGCCCACCTGCGCCTTCTGTTTCAGGGATGGGCAAGGAGGTGGGGAACTTGCTGCTGGAGAACTCACAGCTGCTGGAGACCAAGTGAGCCTGCCTGCCGCCCTTCCCGGCCTGGGGCGGGGAGCAGGCCCTGCTGTGCGGGTAGGGGGCAGGGCTGCCTTAGGAAACGTGTTAGCCCCACTGTCAGGGCCCTGTGAGCGGGGCTCTGAACAAGGAGGAGCCAGTGTAAACCAAGGTTGTTTTGGGGTGATTGAGTTTCGGGGTCCCCTGCTCTCCCAGGGCTCGGTGTCTTTGTCTTTCCCCAGGATAGTCTCTCCCTGGGACTTGGGGTCCTCTTTTCCTGGGCTAAGGTCTCCCCTTTCCGTGGGCTCACGTGTCTCCTGCGCCCCAGGAATGCTCTGAACGTGGTGAAGAACGACCTGATCGCCAAGGTGGACCAGCTGTCCGGGGAGCAGGAGGTGCTGCGTGGGGAGCTGGAGGCGGCCAGGCAGGCCAAGGGCAAGCTGGAGGGCCGAGTGCGGGAGCTCGAGGAGGAGCTGCGCAGGTGTGTGCCTCCTGCCCCACTCTGGGAACTTGATTCTTGGGGCTCCCGTGCAGAAATGGGATTGTGCTCTCGCTCCAGGGAGTCCCCTTCAGAGGGTGGGGCCCCCAGGCCACTGATGTGCCCTAAGTTTAGGTCAGCCTTGGTGGTGGTAGGCATGCTGCTGGGCGCTCCTGCCTGACCCACTTCTTTCCAGGAAAAGGGAGGTGCCAGGGCAGTGCCCTCGCAAGGCTGACCACCTGGTTTGAGCCACCATGGAACCCACATCTGGGCTACAGGGGGCGAGGGGCAGAGCCAGCCCTCATGACCCGTGGTGTCCCCTTCTCCAACAGGGTGAAGTCTGAGGTCATCACTGCGCGTCGGGAGCCCAAAGAAGAGGTGGAGGACGTGAGCAGCTGCCTCTGCACGGAGCTGGTACAGCCACCACCCACCCCACCACCCCGCGGGGCCTGGCTCTTCCCTCCTGCACTGCTGGCCCACATTTGAGGGGGCGTACACTGCCCTCCACCTGCCCCCCTCCCCATATGCCTAATTGTGCTGAGTGGGGTCACGGGTTCAGTGTCACCAAGAATGGTCCCCAAAGCCTTAGGTCTCACAGGTACTGTCCTGGGGAAAGTCTGTAGCCTCAGTGGCAGCTGCCCTTGCCCCTGACCCCAACTCTGTATATTAGAGTTCCTTTTAAGAGGCTCTTTGCCTGCCCCCTCCCCTGGAGTGCACAGCTTGCTGAGGTAGAGGGCCCAGCCCTTGCCTAGCTCTCAGACCCCTGGAGTTGGCCATC